TTCTTTTTTGGAAAAAGAATTATTACTGCTTTTATGTTAGTGCTACTTGTTGGTCTGTCTAGGTTTTCTGTTCTCTTAATTCCATTTTAACAGATCATATGTGCTTACATGTATCTATTTCTACTAGGTTTTCCAATTTGTTAGACTACATGTTTTCAAAATAGTCCTCAATGATCTTTTAGATTTGTGTGATGTCTGTGGTGATTTTTTCGTTTTCATCTCTAATTTTATTAACTTGAGCTCTTAGCAGTAGAAGAAAGGAGAAAAAGAGAAATAGAAGTCAAGCCAAACAAAAATATACAAACCCAAACCTCTAACCCTCTAGACAAGGAAGAAAATAATAACTTTTGTAAAAAAAGAAAAGCTAAAAATGAAAAAAGAAACATATGTTTATATGTATTTATGAACCATTTAGCACAGCAAGAACACACACACATACACACCAAAAAGAAAAGAAAAGGTAAAAAAAAATTATTAATGAAAAATTAAGAAATAGTCTCCACAGAGATGGTCAAAAACAGTCAGTGAGAATAGATGGTCACTATCTGTGTCCAATTGTGTTTTCCATTTCTTGGGCGAGAGAAAGAGAGAGAGAGAGAGAGAGAGAGAGAGAGAGAGAGCGAGAGCGAGCGCACCAGCCCCCCCCCCCCTCCACACACACAAGGGCTGGTGGTTGTTAACCTTTTCTTCTGTTTGTGTTGCTCACTGAGCTGCCAACTGGAATAGCCCCAAAACTGAAGCTGGTTGAAATAATTATCAGGTTCTCTCTTACCAGTATAAAGTAGCATGGAACGGGAATTACTGTGGATTGAAGTTTTGTCTGCATGGATGAGATAGATGTACTCCTTTGGTGGGGTTGTTGCAGAATTCTATGAGGGGAGTTCTGGAGCCTGGGGCTTAGATCTAATCTGGATTTAGGGACTTTGTTGTGTGGTATTTGCTCTGGAGAGATTATAGCAACACATTTCTAGGAACAGGTAGATTCTGATCTTTGCTGGGAGTGTGGATCTAAGGGATGTCCCAAGAATTCTCCTTGAGGGGCAGGTGAGTCAATCTTTCACAAGCTCTGCTGTTGATGCATGCAGCCTCCCCAGACTTTGTCCCTCAGTGGATTCACACTTACCTCCTTATTTTCCTACCCTTTTTGGGTGATCATGTGAACTGCCAAACTTTAGAGGGAAAACAAGTTATTCTTTACTCTTACTTGAATCCGACTGGGTTTTCTGTGCCTGTTTCACTCATGTTTTCCTGGGTATACCATAGGCCACATGGTATGCGCTTGCTGGGAGACTATGGCAATGTTTGCTATGACCTCCCAGGTTTTCTGCAGTAGCAGTCTGCAGTGTGGCTTCCTCAAGATGGCTCCTGCTGTTGTGGGATAGATGGGGCTGAACATTGAGGAATTAGCAGAAAGCAGGTTTATTGGCTGCAGCCAGGTCCAGAGGGGAAAAAGGCTTTTGCTACAGTCAACCAGTCTCCCTGAACTCTGAGTTCAGAAAGTTTCAGACCTTTATATCCAGTGTGCAGGGTGAAGGCCTCAGAGTCTCACAATCTACAGATGTTTACTCCAAAGCAGCTTTTTCCCACTGTTCAGGGTATTGAACCCAGCCTGGAAACAAGAATGCAAACACCTCTGTGGAAGCCTTGGGTTATTCTTTCTTATCAAGTCCTGCTTCAGCAATACACTTCCACCTGTAAACTCTATTGCAGAAATTCTTGCTGATAGTCTAAGAACAACAGTTATGGTGAGGGTCTCTGGAGAAGCTTAATTAAGATTTTCTGGGGAGAAAGGGATGCCACTACACTTTCTTATCTGTTTGCTTGCCATTTGAGAAATAGAGAGGGCTTTTCAAACACCTGATTGCTATACAGCCCCTGGATCAGCTAAATTTTGGCTATTTTTCTGATCTACAGATTTTTCTGTACCAAATCTGTTCATTGTATTTCTCTCTCTGTGTTCTCTTCCCTCTGTGGTGAATGAGTGCCATTGCTGCTGTCTCAGCTGCTGTTGCAATGACTTAGCTCCAGAAACTCTTCTTTAGTGTTCACTCAGTGCACCTGAATTTCTGAGTCTCTAAGGCACTCTGTCCAATATTGAATTTTAGTGAAATTCCTCTTTCATCCACTTTTCTGAGAAGCAGTATTCCTGTTCCTTGAATTTGAAGCCACAGAACAACTGAAAATGCAGCCTTCCTCTAATCCACCATCTTGAATCTATAAATGCAGCAGTTTGTATTCATATCTTCACCTTCATTTTGAAGATTTCATCCCAAGGTTCAAGGTTACCAAGACAATTTTGAATTTTGAGTCTTTCATCTATGATATTAACTCTTCCTTCAGATATATGACCACGTACATCTTTGATAAGTATCCTTGCTTTGTGTTTATGTAGTCATTGATACAAAATTTCAAACAGGTAAGGTTGAATAAAGAATTTATACAGTATATCTGTTATCTTCCCAAATGTTTTTGAAAGGTACTTTTCTTAGATCTAGAATATATCTTTGACCATTTTAGTAATTTTCTTTTCTTAATATTAATGGTATGATAATATTGGCACTTTATTCAAGATTCTGGTTGGAATGATGGTGAGATCAGTTACAATTGTTGCTTCCTATGTGCTCTGAGCAATACATTTATTAGATGGGAAATAGAGTTTAGATTTCTATCAGAAGATACAAGGATAATTGATATTCTTCTTCACCATTTATGATTTAGTGTAATTTTTGTACCTTTTCTAAGAAACATTATATACATTTCTTTCCAGATAGTCTGCTATACTTTTTTAATAATATAATTCAGCTTTTCTTTTTAGTTCATCACTTTTGTTGTTTAATATGATTCCAATATTAAGCTCATGAACTATTAAAAAGGAGTAATTTCTTTTTTTCCAATTTTTATTGGTATATTATAATCATGTACAATATTGAGATTTATTATTTCATATTAAATATATACATAACATAGTTAAGCAATTTTATTCCTTAATGCCCTCCCTTTCCCTCTCCTCTATCCTCCCCCATCTGCTTGCTCTACTCTACCAATCTCCTATTGTTGTTCTTTTAATTTGTGTATTATAATCATATATATATGTATGGTATGTTCACACATAGATATAGCATAATTTGGTAGATTTCATTCCCCAGTACTTCTCCATGCCCTCTCCTCTTCCCTCCCTCTTGTTCCCCTTCCTCTACTCTATTGGTCCTCAGAAAGGAGTTACTTCTAAAAGAGCACTGGACTTCTAAAATTCCCATATTTGGTTATTGACCAGGCTGTGTGGATTTGAGCAAGTTACTTAAGGTTTATGGATCTGTTTCCTCATATGTAAAATAGGTATATTATTATTATTTATTGTTCAGGATTACAAAAACAGGTTAGGATTTACAAAGCAGGTAACTGACTATTAGTGACTTATGTGAATAGTGTTTGTCTCATATAAAAAGAAATCAAAAGATGGACAGTCTATTTAATATAGAGATTAGAGAATTTATGCTATTTTTAATGTATATATTTTTAGTTGTATATGGACACAATGCTTTTATTTTATTTATTTATTTTTATGTGGTGCTGAGGGTCGAACCCAGGGTCTCACAAGTGCTAGACAAGAGCTCTACCACTTAGCTACAACTCTAGCCTCAACTGTAGGCTCTTTTAATTTTCCTGTTCAACATCTGTTTTAGTCAGCTTTTTTTTGAGTTTCTGGGGCCAATGAACCTGATGAAAACAATTTTAAGGAGAGAAAGTTTATTTTGAAACTTATGGTTTTAGAGATTTCAGTTCAAAGACAGATGGCTCCCTTCCATGGGTCTTGAGTTGAGGCATCATGGCAGAAAAGTGTGGTAGAGGAAAGTGGCTCAGGATATGATCAGGAAGCAGAAAGAGGGTCTGCTCAACAAAGATAACATATATACCTCTAAGGCATGCCTCCAGGACTACCTTCTCCAACCACCCTACCTGCTTATCGATTCCACTATCCCTATCAGGGGATTAATTCACTGATAGGGTTAAGGCTTTCATAACCCAATCATTTCAACTCTAAACCTTCTTGCATTGTCTTACACATGAGCTTTTGGGGGACACCTCACATATAAACCATAAAAACATCCTTAGCATGTAGTTTTTTGGGTTCTAGCTTCTTGAATCATGGGGCACAAAATGTCTAGTAAAACCCTGGTCCTTATGTCTATGTTTCATGTATAAAGAATAGGAAGAACTAAAAAACTAAAAGACTTTTCTCTTAGTGAGGCTCTGACTCTTAATTTGGCAAGGGGGGGGGGTTCCTCTTTAAGATGTCTTTCTGTAACTCATTGGCCAGAACCATGTAGCATAGGCACACTTTATTTCAAGGAAAACTAGGAAATTGTACACTGTACTTTTCAGTGTCTAGATTAGAAGAAGGCAAGGAAGAAGGGATTGTGTTTACAGTTTGGGTCAGACAATCAGCAATGTCTGTCACTTTCATAATATTTTGATGATGAATATGATGAGACAATCTAATTAAAAAATTTTATAAGGTATAATCTAAATACACTATTCCTTTTGCCTTCTGTTGGGAGGAAATGACCTTCATAGTCACTAGTATTCAAAGTTGTGTTATTATTCCCCATGAAAAAAAGGGGAAATGATATTAAGAAAAGGGCCCTGGAGATAAATAAGTCTTGGAGGTGAGCTAAGAAGGAGAATGTCTGAGTAGACTCTTTAATGAGGTCAGAGAGAGCTAAGAAACAGAAATCTCCAAAGAATTTGTAAATAACCAGAGGAACTTTGAGAATGTATCATGGAGTTGAAAACCCTGCAAGGTTAGTACTTCTGCATTTCTTTAGTTTGATGAAAACTCTTGTAGCTTACGAATTGTGTTATTTGGGGTAAAATAAACCTTTGAGATATATATATATATATATATATATATATTTTTTTTTTTTTTTTTTTTTTGTTGTTGATGTTGTTTTATTTTAGATTTTGCTTTTGTTGCCAGTCTTCTTTCTTTCTTTTTGTAGACATTGTTCGAAGTGATGTTGCTTTGGATAAACAGAAAGGCTGCAAAATTGCTCAGCACCCTGATATTATGCTGGAGCTCCAAAGAGAGAAGGCAGCTCAGATGCATCTGGTTCTTCTAAAGGAGCAATTCTCCAATACTTACAGTAATCTCATATTAACAGGTAAGGCAACTGGAATCAGCTAGAATCTTAGAGCATTATATATTGATGATCTTCATCAGTTAGCAAATTGATGCTTGGGGGATACTACAGATGAGCCTACATCTGTCTCCACCCACTATATCACATTTTTAATTGTGGTGATTCTTGTCTTTCTAAAACAAATAGTTCTTATAGTTTTCAGATGTATTTTGGCTTGAAGTTATGGACGATTCAGCATGTGTTTTCTCAAAAGACAGAACCAATGACAACCTTGAAGCCTTATAAAAATATGACTTTCTAGATGTGTGCCAGTAGATTTGAGAGAATTACTAAATTTGGTATCTTTTAAGAAGCAGTTATTTTCCTCTTTCTGTGCATGCCCTTTCTATGAACCCAGTGAATATAAAGATGAAATGTTAAAGAGATAATAATCTTTAGGCAGAGCTGGGAATGTTCTATTCCTGATGGTGTTTGAAAATATTTGGGGAATTTGAATTTTTTTTTTTTTTATGAGTAAAGAGGCTATGAGACTGAGTCATATTCCCTTACTTCTTAGTTCTAGGATGAAAGTGCCTATGTATCAGAGCTGCAAGGAGAATCAACTTTTGGCAGGGTTGTCTGCAAACTTTGCTAGTAAAGAACATGCTTAGTTGCATGTCTTTATTAGGCTTTGGAGAAGACTATAGTAACAGATTTGAATGTGAGAATCATTTAGAATTTGAGATAAACTAAGAAGAGAAGTCCAAGTTACCTCCATCTTTTTTTTTTGAGAACATGCAAGGCAGATCTACATATTGATCTGAATGAACTTTAACACGTCAAAGGCATGTGTTTTGCCTTGTTTATGAATAGTTTAAAAACAAAACAAAAATAGAATGTCTGATAGGCTATGAACATTCACACTTACTTGATTTGTGAACTCTAAGTTAGGAAAATTTTAACTTTTTTTACAGGCTTCCTGGCATTTCACCAGGAATTGCTGAGTGGCAACCAAATTGTTTTGCTTTTGAAAAAGCACAAGATTCTTCCAACTTTTCATCTTGTACCTGGTGGAAAACCCAACAGCATGAGATGAAAGCCAGATTTAAATGTGGTTTTGGTGAGCAGAGAAGAGGATTATGGATTTCATAAGTATAGGCCCTGTTTTTTGCTCTTTGATAGATCATTAAGGAGGGCAAATTTAAAAGTGATTTATGGCCAATGCATATATTTCCCTAAATTGGTTAGTGAAACTGAGTTTAAGTTTAGATGTTTGGGAAGAACAGATTTTTCTCCAAGTTTCTTTACTCTACCTCAAATGTATACATGTATATATATTTACTATTCTCCAATTCCGGGATTGGAAATGACACATTTTTTTCCACTCTCATTTTAATATTTTTTGACATGTATTAGAGGGGTCATACCCTGTGTTCTTTAATGTGGCATATAAAGAGCTTAGGGTAATTCTAACCCTAAACTGTGGATCCAGAGTATGGCTTGAAGGCATATTATCTTTGAAAACACAAGTGTTCTATTGAGTTCAATGGAATCTTTTCTAATTCTCAGTAACATAATCCCTTTGGATGTTTATTCACAATTCAAACTGTTGGAATCAACATTGTCAACTTTTACCCTGACAACTTGCTTACTTTCTACTAAACAAACTTACCCTAGAGAAGAGCCTCTTTCCTGCTCTTACTTCTCCCAAGCTGCTTCAAAGAGTCCTCAGGCGTTTTCCACATTTTTCACCCAAATGCCTGTGCAGAGTGGTACCTTGCAGCAGACAGAGCATTTGGTATGCCCTGGTTTGTTTACATGAAAGTTCAAAAGGTTTTGGTTCCAGGTGTTGGGAAGACATGGAGTCATTTCAGTGTAGCACCAATGGTAAAACTATTTTAATGTCCTTTAACTAAGTCTTTGATTTTACACAGTGTGGTTTTCTAATTGTTATGAAGTTTAATCCTTGATTTCTTGTATAAATCTTGAGAACATGGTCTCCAGACAGCTAAACATAATATTTAAACATAACTAAACTAAGTTTTGTAAATATTTCCCTTTTCGGTGATGAATGTATATTGGTAAGGAGGGTGAGGTTGAAGGGGCAGGGACCTCAAACGAAGTGACTTTCTTTACCAACACATTTAGAACACCTACTCTAGGATTTCTACTTGGTGATGATCTACTTATTTTGTGTAAGTCTGGCATAATGTGTGAAATATTTGCAATGAAAGTATTTATATGGGAATATGATGAGGAAACTGGGCCACTAAAATCTAAGAAAACATGAGTTTTTCAAACCCTTCTTCCCCCCAACCTAGGTATTTACAGAATTTCATATATATGAGGAGAAGTGTGTGATTGTTTCCTGGTCAGCTTGAGGCATATTCTTTATTTTTAAGATGGGCCAACCAAGATTCCATGTGATTTAAAAGCATGTCCTCCACCTCACAAGCAAGTCCTTACACAAGCAAGTCCCACCCTCAGCTGACATGTCTCTCAGCTGCTGAGGTCAGAAGCATTTTCAATTCTACATTTTAACTAATAATTCCTTTTAAACAGATAAGGGCAAGTGATATTACAGCTTTAAAAGTCTTCTAACCACTTACAAAAAGGAGACAATTCTATAGACCTTGGTGATACCTAGTTAATAGAAAGTAATAAAAAAATCCCAAACTTTATCTTATTGAAATATTTCTTTTTACATCATATTTTTTAGAAAAGTAGATTGTTTTTATGTGTTTCTACATGGTTTTAGATTTGTTTTAATGTTCTCATGTGAATAATTTACCTGGTTTTGAAAATAATATTAGATTTGCCTAACTTAGGGAGTTTTTGAAATAAACTCTAAGGCTACTGGAAGGTGATGGAACTACTGGAATTATTTTAAATGGCTATGAGCCATGTGCTGTACTTTTCACACTGACTTGATGGCATGGATATGTATGCTTGTCCTGTAGATCCCTGAATATGAGAGTGTAGTCCCTGTGCATGTCATTAAAAGAGAGACTAATGAAAGGGAGAACTGGTGAGAGCCTTTAAGAAAGAGCAGGGATCAGATGTCACACACTTCTTCATGTTATCATGATTCTTAATATAGGAATGCTCTATAAATTTTCTGAAAATGTTACATTCATAATGAGTGAATTCACCTGAAGACTACTTTTTAAGGGATAGTGTTGATTTTTTTTATAACTTTTATAGATTCAGATTCAGTTATTTGTCTCCCCTCCTCCTCCCTCTTTTTCCCTTTTTGAAGGTATACATTGAATTTTTCTGAGTGATCCCTGTACCATAATCAAAGAGAAAAGATAAAAGGTAAGGCAGCCTTAAGGGGAATTACATTTTCTAGGATTTTTGCTTAGAAATTCTAGAAATTTAGAAATTATATTCCTGGAGTGCAAGGAATATCATATTCTTTAGTATTCTGGATAATATGTAGATCATCTTAGTGAATTACCATGAAATGAGTTTTTAAAAAAATATATTTTTTTCTCTGTGAAGTTATCTAGTTAGCCTCTGTAGCCAGGCAGCTTGAAGCCAGACATTATAAATGAGTGGCATTATTCAAGACACATTTTATTTTGTCATGTTATTGGTTGCCATTTTTGGTTTTATACCTTTCTTCAGTCATTAAACCCTCAACTAAAGTGATATTCCTAAAGTTGGCTTTCTGTGTAACTGTAGCATATGAATTGAATAAGAGATTGCATTTCCCTGTTGTGGCCTATTCTGTTAACTTCAGTGAAGCAAAGGAGCTCGCAGTGGTATAAAAACTGTTCTTTCAGTTTGCACAAAACAAATGCTCAGGGAACTATTTCTAGCTATGCCTAATGCTGCAGTAACCAACCAAGGACAAAAATATATTTTTGACTTAAATTCCTTCTTGGTAGCATCTTTTGTGATTATCCCAAACTAAAGAGCCCTTTTCTTCATTTTCACTGCGTTTACCAATTGTTTATGCCATTACGGGCAATTGATGGAAGTGTAAAATAATTTGTCAATGCATTTTAATTATGTTTCAGAATTAATTTTGTTAATGGTTTGAAAAACATCACTTCCCTTCTTTGATTGACTCTTATTAAAATGAGTTCAGTTATTGTTGTTCTTGAGATCTTGGGAGATCCATCTGCCTCTATATTTTACTAATTTCCCTACTTAAAGTGAATCTACTGTAAACTTATCTGCCCAAATTATATCATTAAATATTCTCTATTTTTTTCCACTCTACCCCATATGCTTGGAGCAGTTTCATGTCTCCCATTTGCCAAGTTTTCTTTTAGGGTCATTGAAAGCCATTTTAAAATCCCTTCATATAGTAACATCACATCTTAAATTCACGTGAGAGCACAAGGAAAGAAAGTATATTTGCCTATCAACATGAAGCCAGGTGGGTGTGATTGGATGTGTAGCAAAACCAAAACCTGAGGATAGCAGGGTTTTTAATATCAGGTTTTTTCCCCGATGGCATTTACTGCCAACTTTATCAAATAAAATGAAATAATGTTTAAAAATGACCTTGAAAAGTGATTAGTCTGTAGCACTGTGGGCATTTATTTGCATGTTTATCAACATTTTATAGAGGGATGTGAAGTAAAGTACCAAAGAAAATCTTCTACAGGGCTAGGATAGGTATATGATATATATCATACATGTATATACATGTATATATACCATATACACTGGGAGCTATTGATGTAAGTTCTGAAGTTCAGTGGTTGGAGAATCGGACCTCTGATGTCCAAGGGCAGGAGAAGAGGAATATCCCAGCTCCAGGAGAGAAAAAGAACAGAAATTGCCTTTCTCTGCTTTCTTCATTCTCTTGAGGCCCCCAGCTAATTAAATGGTGCCTGCCCACATTGAGGGCAGACCTTCCCCACTTAGTCTAGTCAGACTTACACACCAGTCTCCTCTGGAAACATCCTCAAAAACATACCTTTACGAGTTCTCTAGTTACTTCTTAATCCAGTCAAATTGACACATAAAACTAAACATCACACCCTCTATAATGTGATATATTTTATAAGTAACTTAGCAAACAA